CCTCTGGAGTTTGTAAGGCATTTATTAGAGGTGCACTTGTATCAGACTGGTTCTGGAACAAATTGTCACAGGCCCTCTTGGCCTCACAAGCAAAGGTGGTGCTTGCCTTAAGTGGCTCAATGTGTCTAACAAGCACCTGAAGCTCCCAAATGCATGTGGAATCTTCCTGATCACTCACTAGAAGTGCCATGTCTTTGTGTCAGAGCGTGAACGGGCATCCCAGGATTTGTACACACAAAATACATTGTTAGGACTTAAGGGGGAGGTCATACCTCTGCCTCCAGACATGTTTTGGTAGAAGACTTAGCATCCATCTGTAGGAAAACCCCTCGTTGTCCATGTCCCTTCACCCTTTCCCAACATATGCATCTGATTATTCCCACGGGAGCACTTGGCACTGAATGTGAGTCTACCTGAAATGAATGGTCTTGGTGCACTTCTGCTTCTAAGAAGGGCCAGTGTTTTATCTGAGGTCAATAAACTGGAATGAGAATGAAGGTCAGAGTTGTTTATCCATTGCTTGACAGCGAAATGCATAACACCATGTCACAACATTAAATCAAAGCTATGAAAGTTGGCCTCTGCAACCAAGTGGGTATTCTTCACAAAATGGCAGCATCGTTTTCAAATTACATTTAAAATGCACTGATATTAATTTGATATAAATATCATTTCCCAGGGTAGAGTGTAGGAAAATACTATAAACTTTTCTTTGCAAGTAATGTTTTTGCACCGTCAGTTGAATAATTTATCCTCAATCTGCCACAGCAAGTCGTTTCTATGTACAAATCCTATTTGCACACACCACTTGTGTACAAATATATTCCGTTCTACAGCATCAGTTTTGGATGCTGGGGTCATGAGATGGCTCGGGCAGTACTATAAACATACACTTTCAACACAGAACGCCTCATGCACACAGACTTCCCATATGAATATCAACTCCATACAGGGCATTGTATTGTGGACTGACTGACTAGAAATCAACTTCCAACACAGTCTTCAATTTGGGGAAGAAACACTAACTCATGATACAACAAACAGCTTTATTCTTCAAAAATAAAAATAAAAACAAAACAAAAAAAAAAAACCCTTGTTCTTTAGTCTATTTACAGTGATTTGAGGACTAAATTTGATTCTTGTTCCTTTCTGGATCTGAAATTCCTCTTAAACTGTAAGCAACAGTGGAGCAGTTTGAAGTCATTTCTAAAACAGCTCCTAGTTTGAATGGGGCATTATGTAGAGAAACAGGTAGTCAAACAGGGACTTAAGAAAGCTTTGCAGGCAGCTGTTCCTCAACTTGAGAGGATTATGCTACTCCACAGGATGTCAAGCAGCTTCCCGAGACAGGACTTGTGGTTTCTCAACAGGCTTATCATTTTCAAACCTTTGCCTGTTTCTTCTTTTTCTTCTTCTTTGATGGCAATCATAAATATTAAAAAAAAATGTGGGGTTAGGCCTCTTGACAACAGCGTTAAACTTCACACTGTGCGCACTTCACTTGAGCCAGTCCTCTCACGGAAGTCCTGTCGCTGGTCCCGGCTCCCTTTGAAGGAGAGTGGCAGTTGGCATACTAATCACTAGCCTTTTTTTTTTTTTTTTTTTTTTAACTTCCTTGGAAAAGCAATACAAGGATTACATCCCAAATTATAGTGCATATGAAAAGCAGCAAACCTTTAGAAAGACAGTTAATAAATTACTCGAACAACATATAGGAGCAGACACACATAGTCAGGTTTTCCACCGCAGCATCACCTCTGACGCCTGAGTCATTGCTGGGAACTCAGAAGAGAAGTAGCAGGATGGCCCAGTAACTTTGTTGGCTTTTTTTCTTTTTTTTTTAAAAAAAAAAGATTTTCTAACTGTTTTGTTCCAGAATCAGTATGTAATAAAGTTCGATTTTGATCAAGGCACCCCTAGTTAACGCAGAGAAACAAACACATACAACAAAGCACTCACCTGCCCAAAGCCTGACCAACTTGAAGAGGTTGCCTGGAGACACAAGCAGGACAAAGACGGATCCAAGGGGAGGACTGGATTTAGATGGGATGCTCATTAGTCACCTCCACTGGCTCTGCCCCACCATTGCTATCCTCACCATTTGAAGACCCAAGCAGAATGTCACAAGCCTTCAAAACAGCCCGTGGTTGGAGGGTCTCTTATTTTTCTAAGAAAAGAACCTTAAAAACACAACCAAATGTCATTATACTGTGCAAACACTCTTCCTTGCTGTTTGTTCATCTGCTTTTCCTTTTCATAAAAGGTGTGGGGTCGACTAAGGGATCCCAGGGAAAAGAGATAGGCTGGTTTTTAAAATTCCACTTGAGGCCATTTGGATTCTGGTCCCCAAGTCCTCCCTTTGAATCAACCAAGAAATAATTGTGACAAGCACTTATTTCTGAATAGGAAAAGACACACATATATCACAAGAACAATTGCACAAAGCCAGTCACTGTTCATAGTGGATAATGAATGAAATAGCTTGTTAGAAATCCCTATGAAATTGGAAGATGGTTTTCAGAGCAGTGTTTTTAACCAGTTCCCATGGCAGGAGTTAGTAGGGGAAAGAAGGAGAAAAGCAAGGCAGGGGTCCGGGGGAGGAGGGTAAGGTCTGAGTTACGGTGGTGAGAAATAAAGAGACCCTTTATTTCCATTTTTTATTTCTTCCATAAAAAATGGAAATTCTGATACATGTATGGTATCTGTGTACTTTAAGTCAATCTTAGAATGACAAGTACACCTAATTCCACTCATAGGATGTATCTAAAGTAATCTAATTAATGGGGACAAAAAGTAGAATGGCAGTTTTCAGGGGTTGGGATATAGGAGAATGAGGAGTTACTGTTTCATGGGTACAGTGTTTTAGGTTTGAAAGATTTTTAGGTTCCAAAAAATTCTGGAGATGGAAGGTGGTAATGGTAGTATGACACTGTGAACATACCTAATGCAAAAGAACTGTACGCTGAAAATAATTAAGATGATGTGTGATTAAGATGGTAAAGATGGTATATAATTCTGCTCAGGATGCTATAACAAAATACAATAAACTGGGGGACTTAAACAAAAAACATCAAAAAAAGAGACCCTGCACCAACAGAAATGGCTGCCAAACAGGTCTGGGTTACTGAACCACAGAAACCTGGGGAAGCAGATGGAATGTGGTCAAGACTACCAGTTGCACATGAGTTGAAACCAGGGTAAATAATGCCAAGAAGCTGGGTTGGATCTGGTTAGGATATGAGCAGAAAGTGTTCTTTCTTTAAAAGAATACAAGAGGTCACTTGAAAAGGCAGCAACAAAGTTAAAAAACAAAATACAGTCAACTGACTCCACCATAACACACGCCTCTGAAGTATCACATGATTCACATTGAGTTTATATTCTCGCTGTCATCAGTTTTCCACAAAGGCAAACCTCATGATGAAGCACAGAACTGTCCTACTAGGCCAAGAAATTCCAACAACCATAAAAAAAACCAGCAGCTCCAACACAGAGCTTTATCAAGGTCTATTTCAGACAAGCGCGCGCGCACACACACACACACACACACACACGAGAAAAAACAAAAACCCAGAGGCAGGTTTTAAAAGTGGAACTGTTTAAAAAGAAAAGCCTTTTTTTTTTTTTTTTTTTTTTTTTTTTTATCCTACTGCATGAACTGACAAATTTCTGGCATTCATACATATTTAAACATTTAGTGCTAATATTTGTACAGAAAAAAGTTAATAATACTAAAACATATGTTACTATGATTTCACTTTTCGCCTATATCATATACTAATTTCCCCTTTTACATGCAGCTTTAATATTGTCCAAACAATGGCACAAATAAAGAAACGAAGTCAACCATCTATTCCCCACTGCCCACCACCCCATCCCCACATCAAACCGTTCAGGACTCTTCCCCAGCCGGGCTGGAGTGGCCCTCGGGCTGTTCAGTGAGACCCGGACCCAAGGCCACTGGAGCGAGGGAGCTGATTCCTCCTCCTCTGGGGCACATCTTCCTGTAAACGTGGCTGGGGCCAACATGCCCCCAGAGCCAAGGGAAGCTGCTCTCTCTAGGTTGCAAGCCAACCAGTTTTGCAGCAAGAAGAGAAAATTATCATCAGGTGAGGGTAGGGTATGTGTGTGATTCGGGAAGGGAAGAGGGAGGGCTCCTGATGATAGCCTGTCCAAAGCTTCAGAATGAAGTCTGCATTCAGACAAGAGACTGGCAGAAAAAGCTCAGAAGACAACTCGAAGCCTTTGGAGAAGGAAAGGAGAAAGAATGTGTCAGCCTGTGTCAGGGATGGATCGCAGGTGCCAGGATGCCCTGCTCTCCCCCAACGGTGTGAAGGCAGGACCTTTGGGGCTGCAATTCAAATCCCCGCAGGCCCGATGTCCTGGGAGGCCGAGCCTGGGCAGTAAAGCCGGTGGCAGGTTGGCCCCGTCCTTCAGGGGAGCAGGTCCTACTGCACAACACTTCCGAGAGCAAGCCGAGGCCTCAGGATGTGTTGAAATGAATGGGACTTACTCCCTGGGTGAAAACAGCTCTAATTTGATTTTTAGGAGCCAATGCCTGATGAGTTCTGGTATAATATCATGGATTCCTGTTTTTCTGATGTACTTTTGAGTGAGATGTCCAAACTCTCTCCCCACTTAGGAATCTGAACATCCAGCATCAACTCTGAACTCTCTATCTGCATTTAAACTTTGCTTAGGGAAAGGTGGGGAGGAGATGAAATATAAAAATATTAAAGCAGATTATTGTCTACACATCCTAGGATGAATTCGTTATTTGGCAAGATTGTTTTTCCTACATAATTATCACCTGAGTGCTTTTTAATTAGCTAAAATGTTTTACTTTTTTAACTAAAAGCAAAGAATATACAGTATACTTGAGTTATACTGAAGTTACAACTTCATTTAAGAAAATAGGTTTGACCCAAAACTCAGTGCAAGTGGCAAAGTTGACCATTACTGTACAGTATCTGCAAGGAAAAAAAAAACCTCCCCCCTCCCCCCACCAAACAAAAAAGAAACCCACAATGCTCAAATGACACCATCTGGCGGTGCCAAAACCAAACCAAACGTAAAAAAGAGCTGAAATAAAATCTTGGGAAAAAGCTTCCAACACTGAATTTTGTCCATAAATAAGTACAAATTGAAAATCGAACTGTGAAGCAAGAAAAATGACCATGTTAACAGTTACCAAACTAGTTCTAGCATCAGAGACAAAACAAGAGGAATGCTGGAACCTGTTTCTAAATGAGAAATGAAGTTTCCAGTTTTAAGATGAGAAAGTTGAGGCATGCAGGACTTTTGCATATGGATATATATATATTTTATATATATTATATATAATATGTACAGTCTAGCTATAAAACTTTGATGTGTATAGAAGCTGTCTTCAATGAAAAAAATTGAACATTCAGAAGAAATTCCTGAGATAGGGTTTGTGACATGGGCCACTGAGAAAAAAAATCCGTGGTTGGGGCCTAGAGGTGTTGTAGTCTATCCCTGTGAAGACTGAAATTGAGCCACAGACAGACAGCGTCATCACTGCTGTCTTTCCTTGCCTGGGCAAGGGGTAGCACCATTGTGAAGGTAACTATCTATCACTCCTGCTCGAGAAGAGGAGAGAATACTTCGGAACAGTATTGCTGCTAAGACCGCTGTAGTGTGCACCAAATGTATTTTCGGTTTCTTCGGGACAGCAGATGAACAGTGCCACAGGCTGACTGAAGAACGCCTGGATGGGAGAGGTGTGAGGACTGGGAGGCAGAGCCGAGTCACTAGGTGTAATCTTTCCTGGGCTGTTCGTCAGTTGTACACTTATCAGTCATTTCCTGGCAGAAGTCCACGGTCACTGTTTGGCTCCTGGGTTCAAGAGGAGGTCCTCTCTCAGAAAAGGCTCCTGGGTCAGTGCCTTCTAGCCTCCTCCCAGAGGTACAATTCTCGGAGGTGTTGCTGGGTGCCCAGGGTGGTCCAGGGGGAGCCGCACCTGGCTCCAAGCAGCAGGGCACATTTTCCCCCACTGAGCACTGGGAGGCCACGAGGTTCTGCTCGACACCCAGGGGCGCAGGGTTAATACTGGAGGCTGTGGGCAGGTCCATGGGTCTGAGGACAGGGCAATACCGATGCAGGGCCTGGATCTGCTCAGGGCTCTGGATGTCTCGGCAGACTTCCTGGGAAAGGCAGGAGAAGTTGTCCAGCAGTTCCCCCATGCATGCTTTCAGCTGATTCCTCTCTGACAACAGTTTCTCTTTCTCACACACCTGGACAGTACAGGAAATAAAGAGAAGACTGGATCAAACCTGAGTTGGAGGACACAAGGCCTCATTTTGGGAGGTTTTCCAGCCTTTGTTTTGTATCCTCCATTATAATGTAACTCATGAATGACTAGGTCAGGCTCTAAAAACTTAAAGATACACATCCAGGGAGCCCAGACATGGGCTTCTGCCACACCTCCCATCTGAGCCACCCATCCAGATGAGCTGCTGAGGCCAACACCTTTCCCAGGACATCCCTTCAGCCCTTTCCAAGGCCCAGGCAAACTGGCAAAACTGTCACCAATCAGAAAACTTGAGTTAATGTTTTGGTTTTCTGAAATTTGGGGTTTGTAGAGAGTTAAATGAAAAACTTTCAGTCCCAATCTTGTGATTGAAAAGCTCCCTCAAATGCATCAGGTTACCATTTTTGAAAGGCAAAAATCTACCATTCCAACTATATGACATTTTGAAAAAAGCAAAACTATGGAGACAATAAAAAGATCTGTGGTTGTCGGGGTAAAGGGGGTTGAACAGGCAGAGCACAGGGGATTTGGGGGCAGTGAAACCACTCTATATGGTATTATACTGGTGGATCCATGTCATTACACATTCGTCCAAACCCACAGAACGTACAACACTGAGAGTGAGCGCTAATGTAAACTATGGACTTGGGTGATAATGATGTGTCAATGTATGTTCACTGACTGTAACACGTGTACTACTTTGTGGAGGATGTTGACAGTGGGGAAGGCTATGTGTGTGGGAACAGGGAACATACAGGAACTCTCTGTATAGTGTGTTCAATTTTGCTGTGAACCTAAAACTCCTCCTATAAAAGTAAGTCAGGCTGGGTGCAGTGGCTCACACCTGTAATCCCACTACTTTGGGAGGTCAAGTTGTGTGGATCACTCGAGCTCAGGAGTTTGAAACCAGCCTGGGCAACATGACAAAACCCCTTCTCTACAAAACATACAAAAATTAGCCAGGTGTGATGGTGCACACCTGTAGTTTAGGCTTCTTTGGAGGCTGAGGTGGGAGGATCACTTGTGTCCGAGTGGTAGAGGTTGCAGTGAGCTGAGATGGTGCCACAACACTCACCCTGGGTGACAGAGCAGGACTCTGTCCCCCCTCAACAAAAAAAAAGTTTATTAAAAGCAAAACAAAAAAAAGGTCATCAGCAATTTCCTATGGTTGCCTAACATACAGAGTTTCATATGGAACCCAATATCAGCAGGCTCTCTGACCTTGGTAGCAGAGCAGATTGAACAGGAGCGACCCTCTCCAGAACAGCTGAGGAATGTGCAGTGAGTTTGGAGCAGCGATTCTCCTGGACTCAGGAAGGGAGAAGGAAGTATGGAGTCTGAATCCTTGCATACTAGCCCAAGGTTCTGAGATATTCTCCTTAAACAAAATTCTACACATGCTCCTGTGTTACTAAAATTCACTATCCCAACAGAGAGATGACTTCAGCAGCAGAATAGAGACTAATTAAGGTTTTACCATCAACATTCGTGGGAAAGAGGGCCAGGCATGGTGGCTCGTGCCTGTAATCCTAGCCCTTTCGGGGGCTGAGGCAGGCAGATTACTTGAGGTCAGGAGTTTGAGACCAGCCTGGTCAACATGGTGAAATCCCATCTCTACTAAAAACACAAAAAATTAGCCAGGCATGGTGGCTCAAGCCTGTAATCCCAGCACTTTGGGAGGCCGAGGTGGGTGAATCACGAGGTCAAGAGATCGAGACCATCCTGGTCAACACGGTGAAACCCTGCCTCTACTAAAAATACAAAAAATTAGCTGGGCATGGTCATGTGTGCCTGTAATCCCAGCTACTCAGGAGGCTGAGGCAGGAGAATTGCCTGAACCCAGGAGGCGGAGGTTGCGGTGAGCCAAGGTTGCACCATTGCACTCCAGCCTGGGTAACAAGAGCGAAACTCCGTCTCAAAAAAAAAAAAAAAAAAAAATTAGCTGGGCGTGTTGGTGCCTGCCTGTAATCCCAGCTACTCAGGAGGCTGAGGCAGGAGAATCGCTTGAACCTGGGAGGTGGAGGTTGCAGTGAGCTGAGATCACACCACTGCACTCCAGTCTGGGTGACAGAGCAAGGCTGTGTCTCAAAAAAAAAAAAAAATGTGTGAGAATGAGGAGGAGATGGGGTTCCATGAGGCACACACAATGAAATGGAAGAAAAGAGGCATCTGAAGCAGGATGAAGTCAGTTCTCGCCAACCCTTTGCAAGTGCAGGCAGGAGGAGAGGATGGGAGAGAAAATGAAGAGGAGAGAGGGAGGAGCAGGCATACAACACCCGCGAGGAACAGGTCTTCGATACGGGAGCTGCACGTGTTGTAACATGAATGCAGTCTGGCAGGCGGCGTGGGCATGTGTGTCGGAAAGAGAGATTTACACGGGGAAAGGGCATCTGCTAAAATATTTATAAATTTATCAAGAAAACATGTTTTAAAAATGAAAAATAAACAGATGTACAAGTGCAACTCTAGAGAAATACATTATGTGAGTTTGCAACAGCAGAGTGGCGGGTGTGTGGGAGACAGCGTGTGGGAGTGGGGAGTGCAGGGCGTGCTGGGGACTGGGTAGGGTGGGGCTGGGGAGAGGCGGAAGCTGCTCCACCCAGCAGTGCCATCCCTGCCAGGACACAGTATCCCCAGATAAGAAACAAAACACATCTGGGAGGTCTCCTTGGGGAAAAAGCTTACATGGGTGGCTGTGTAACCTGGAGCTCTCCCCTTTAAATACAGAAATCTGCCAAGTGAGGGGCAATACTGCTTGAATGCTGGGAGAGGAAGCCCAGGCTCATTCTGCCACATTGCCCTGGCCAAAGCACTGACCCCTCCAAGCCTACTCATCTGCTAAATGTTCCAGGCCACTTTCTAGGGGGAAGAAAATGAGGTGCTGTGTGTGACAGCAGTAGGAAAGGCATTATAAATCATGCCTTGGTTAAAACCACGAAGCACTAAGTCACAGATGTACATTGACAAGCATGTTCTCATTCAGCACTGAAACATGGCATCTTATTTAAGGAGATGCCAAAAAATGGTTGGAGAACTAGATGATGCTCTTTTGGTTTTTTAGTTGAAAAATGCTAGCAAAGTGCTTTATATATGCCTCGTCTGTAGCTTAGATTTTATTTGTTCAGTATTGTAAAATTATACGAAGCAGAAAGTGAATTACCGCATTTCTCAAATGTTGGTGATTGAAGTTATTTTACTACCTTAAGAGGAGTGCAGGGCACTACAGAGATGTGCCTAGGACCCTGTAGACTCACACCCAGTGGACTTTTCTACCTAAGCCTGGCAGGCTTTCAGAAGACCCACACTCACAGCCGGAATGTTGTTTCCTTATGTGATTTACATTAAATTTTGTTGTTTAACAAAATTAAACAGCTTTAAATAAATATTTAAGAGGAAGAAGAAACTCACAATCCCCTGAACTGAACAGTCACAATATCTAGTAAATTTTACAGCAACAGACATTTTCTGGGTGCCAGCAATGGGTCCAACACTGGATATTCAGAGATGATCAAGTCACTGTCCTTGTCCTTGAGGAACCTACAGTCGAGTGCTGGGGGCTGGGGAGACAGACATATGCAAAGATAACTCGAGACTAAGTGATCAGATCAGGGTTCCATGTGCAGGTGCCCAGCCTAACTGGGGACTCAGGAAAGGGGCTTCCTAGAGAGGTATGTATAACCTGACTCATTCATTCATTTAGAGATGAGGTCTTGCTGTATTGCTCAGGATAGTCTGAAACTTGTGGCCTCAAGTGATCCTCCTGCCTCAGCCTCCCAAAGCATGGTGATTACAGGTGTGAGCCATGGTGCCCAGCCATGACCTGACTCTTAAAGAACAAAGGAGACAGAAAAAGTAGAGGAATGTCCAAGGCAGAGAGGAAATGGCATAGGCACAAGTGCAGTGTTTGCTTTTATCAGGGATCAAGTCCTAGGAAGGGGGTGGACGGTGACACTGGAGGGGCAGCTACAGACTGGATGACAAAGGGCAGGAGATGTCCTACTAAGAAGCTTGGACTTTCTTTTGTTGGTGATGGGAGCTACTGAATACAGACATTTTCCCTCCTCGGTGAGTGTCAAAAAAAATGACCCTAAAGTCCAGGGCTATCTTGATAACATATAACGTATCCTGTGCTTTTATAACATCTCATCCTTGTGCTTTGGTTCTCATTGGGTTGGTGGCTCACCATGAGGTCAGGGAGTACTGCAAACAGTCTGAGGAGCCACACTTAGATCATGACCACACCATGCAGACTCCTTCCTCTTCTTTAGCCTGACACAGACATGGCACCTGAGAGGAGTTTCTGTTATTTGGCAGCATACAGGCAGAGCTGAAGGAGGTTGAGTTGGTCACCTTCAAAGCTATAGTCGGGAGCCAGAGGTCAACTGGATTTGCTTTCTGTACCATATGGTTGCTTATCAAGGAGAAGGGGTGGGGGCACATAGCTCTGAGTATGGGGGAGCCTGGGAGACAGGAGTTTGTTTTCTGTGATAAAACACTCTCAGGCACAGGAATGACTATGACAGCCCCCTTGAGGCAGAATTGCAAAAGAAAGGACCCTGGGGCTGCAAAGGATGCCATGAGATCATCTCCTGGCAACAGCCCCTCTGCAGGTAGGCATCCTATCTCTAATCCATTCTCTTCTGCCAGGAGGCAGGAGAAAGCAGTTGGTACAAGACACAATTTGGAATCAGACACCTCGGTTTACATTAAAGTTCTACCAAGTAGTGGAAAGTTCCCAATCCTTCTGCACTGCAGTTTCCTCCTCTGCAAATGGGGATAAAAGAGTACCTAAGTCATAGCATGAATGTGAGGATTAAATGGGATCATCCACAAAAACAGTTGAGGAATACCTGGTCCATAGATGCTCATAATTAACATCAGCTATTTATTTAGTTATTTTGAGACAGGGTCTCACTCTAACACCCAGGCGATCTCCACTCACTGCAATCTCTGCCTCCCAGGCTCAAGTGATTATCCTGCCTCCGCCTCCCAAGTAGCTGGGATTACAGGCATGCACCAACATGCTCAGCTTATTTTTTGTATTTTAAGTAGAGATGGGGTTTCACTATGTTGGCCAAGCTGGTCCTGACCTCAAGTGATCCACCCACCTTGGCCTTCCAAAGTGCTAGGATTACAGGCGTGAGCTACCGCACCTGGCCAACACAGTTATCTTTACATGTTGAATGGAAAACAAAAAAGAACTACCTATATATGAATAATGGCTGAAGGATATAAAATATTGACACACCATTACACACCTGCGCACTTGTGCATGCATACACACACACTGCAGATGTAAAGCTATTATTTTTGTTGAGAAACTTGTTAAAAAATAAACCCAAACTTCCCCAAAGGGTGACTCTTCTTTCTGCTTTTTCAACTTTCATTGTGGTTACTTTATATTGGTCCTGGTCACTTCAGGTTGCTGATCACAATGGATGGGTCAACTCACCAATTTGCGGATTTCACATTCTAAATTCTGAATACAGTCCAGTTTCCTCTTGCGGCAGCGCTGAGCCGCGATGCGGTTCTTGCTGCGCCGTCGGACATCATGAATGAACTCTAACTGTTCTGAGGTTAGCTTGTGCATCTTAATCATCATCTGGAAATCGTTCCTTGGAAGATCTGTGATCTGATCTACAGGAAAAGGAAGTTTTACCTGAAACCAAGAATAACAGAAAATGATTATGGCAGCTGAATTTTAATTCTGGCAGGTGGAAGATCAAAAATGATAAAACTTCCTTTTTATGATGTCCAAGTAATATGCAAACTACTGAAAGCAAGCAGTGATTATTTATTTTGTGTTTAAAGACAATAAGATGTAATAATACCTGGGTAATCAAACAGAGTAAGAACACATACATTGTAATGTTATTGTTTCTGAGATTTTTGAAGCAAATGGCATAATATTGGAAAATGTGTCATTTTTCACTGATGTAGCACTTTTGTAAGGATTCTAGTTAGTTGAAATGTACTTCTATAAGATCTACAGCCTAACTCAATAAAACAACATTTATAGGGAGATATCACATAAGGACATATCTAAAGCACCTGAATGAAGAGAGCCCCACATATCTTGAGATGCTGGAGACACAAAAAAACCAGTGTGATTCTTAGTTGCAATAGCATCCTAGGAGGAGGTAATTTGGACAGGCTTCACCATTATGTACTAGGAGTCAGCAAAAACGTCTTTCATCCTTCTCACCAGACATGAGACCTCAGGCAAGCTACTCCACCTCTCTGTGATTCAATTTTCTTATCTGAAAAATAGGGCATTAAAAAAAAGCCATACAGTGCTATACAGGTGCTTGCAACTTTGGCAGGCTTTATTTTCTCATTTTACAATGTAATGTTGACATTCCTTTGTCAAGAAGTGTGATGCATGTTCCTGCCTTTTGGTCAATAGAATGCAGCCATAGTATAGTTTATAGGCTAGATCATAAAAGGCATTGCAGCTTCCCCTTAGGCCTATTAGAATGCTGGCTAGGGAGAAAATCAGCTGCCATGCCTTGAGGACATTCAAGCAGCTCTGTGGAGAGGCTCATGTGGAGAGGGGCTGATGCCTCTAGCCAGCAACCAGCATCACCTTGCCAGTCATCTGAACAAGCCATCCTGGAAACAGATTCTCTAGTCCCAGTCCAACCTTCCGCTGAGCAGAGCGTTGGCCAACATCTGACTTCACCTTATTAGAGATCTTCAGCCAAAACTGCTCAAGTGGGCTATTCCTGAATTCCTGACTCACATTCACATTTCTCAGAGAAACCGTGAGAGGTGTTAAGTGATTACTGTTCTTTTAGGCCATTACGTTTTGGGGTGATTTATGATGCAACAATGGACATCGATTGCAGGTACTGATCAGCAAAATTCCGATTCTTGACAAATTCCAATTCTTGACAAATCGAGGCAAAGAAGCATTATCTAAAGAAAGGACAGCAGTCCCTGAAGGATGGGTGTGTGTCCTTGCTGTGTTGTTAAATGATTGTTTATATTTCCTTTTTTTTTTTCTTTGAGATAGAGTCATGCTCTGTTACCCAGGCTGGAGAGGAGTAGTACAATCACAGCTCACTGTAGCCTTGACTTCCTAGGCTCAAGCGATCCTCTTGCCTCAGCTTCCTGAGCAGCTGGGACCACAAGCACGTACCACCATGGCTGGTTAATTAAAAATTTTCTTTTTTTTGGTAGAGATGTGGTCTTGCACCAGAGAGAAGAAGAAGAAAAAAAAGAGAGAGATGAGGTATCATTTTGTTGTCCAGGCCAGTTTCAAACTCCTGGGCTCAAGTGATCCGCCTGCCTTGGTCTCTCAAAGCGTTGGGATTACACGTGGGAGCCACTATTCCCGGCCTGAAATATTTCTTTTTTCTTTTGAGATGCAGTCTCACTCTGTTGCCCAGGCTGGAGTACAGTGGTATGATCTTGACTCACTGCAATTTTCCCCTCTCTGGTTCAAGCGATTCTCCTGCCTCAGCTTCCCGATTACAGGCATGCACTGTCATGTCCACCTAATTTTTATATTTTCAGTAGAGATGGGTTTCGCCATGTTGGCTAGGCTGGTCTCAAACTCCTGGTCTCAAGTGATCCTCCTGCCTTGGCCTCCCATAATGCAGGGATCACAGGGGTGTGCCACCGTGCCTGGCCTGAAATATTTCTTAAGAAGAGCAACCAATGAAAAAGTGCATGAAAAACCCCTAAGTATGGAAGGTGAGAAGCAAGCCACTACGCTATCTCAAGAGATTCCTTGGCACCCATGAGGTGATGCAGGCTTGCACCTTTGAGCAGTTTGTTTCTCCCCTTTCCGAGGCTCTTGGGGATTCAGTGGCTTCTGGGTTCAGTGTAGTCCTGCTTCAGAAGCTCCTAGAATAAAAAGGTTGTGTGCTGCCAGGCTGAGACAACGTGTGGGTTAGCTCAGACTGCTTCATTCTTGGTTACATTCACGTCTGCTTTGGATGAGCCAGCAGATGGCACTACAAATCTAAACATCCTTCAAGTGCTAGCCCAGCCCTGTCTCATACAAACAACATGAGCCACACTGATTTTAAATTTTCCAGTAATCATATTAAAAGAAGTAAAAAGAAACAGGTGACTGGGCGCTGTGGCTCACACCTGTTATCCCAGCACTTTTGGAGGCTGAGGCAGGTGGATCACCTGAGGTCAGGAGTTCAAGACCAGCCTGACTAACATGGAGAAACCCCATCTCTACTAAAAATACAAAAATTAGTTGGGCACGGTGGCATGCACGTGTAATCCCAGCTACTTGAGAGGCTGAGGCAGAAGAATCGCTTGAACCCAGGAGGTGGAGGTTGCAGTGAGCCGAGATCGTGCCATTGCACTCCAGCCTCAGCAACAAGAGCAAAACTCCACCTAAAAAACAAAAACAGAAACAGAAAAACCCCTGAAAAACAGGTGCAACAAGTTTGAATACTATGTTATTTAACTCAATAGATTAAAATATTTCCAACATGCAGCTAATGTAACAAAATTACTGAGATTGCAGTTTTTTTGTGCTAAATATTCCAAATCCAAAGCATATTTTATCCTGACAGCATGTTGTAATTCAGAGTAGCTGCTTTCAGAGTCTCAACAGCCATGTGTAGCATGTGGCAAATGGACTGGACAGTGCCGGTCTAGGAGACAGAATAAATAGATGCAGTGAATCCCAGCAGCCAGAAAAACACACGGGTCTGAGCAGAACTGACCAAAATGCTGTTGGGTGAAGAAACCAATCCCTCTATAGTGTTCAGATGCTGCAGGGTTAAGTTTGTGTTCTTCAAGGCAGTGAGGATGAAGACATTTGATCCTGAGGTCAGGTTTCTCTGTGGTTGCATCATTTGCAGGCAGACACAAGTCCTGATTGCCACCACTTGTGGATGGTCAATCCCTGTGCACAAAGGCAAACTAATGGAATCATCATTTGACATTTCTGTTGTTGGTGCAAGCTCTTTGTCAGGTTCCATCACGGCTCTGAGCTTGTTCAGTGCGGTATTGGCTGAAGGCTCCCAGTGGGTGCTCTGATTCAACTTCCACCTGGTGAGCTCTGTCCCGTGACACCTGTAAAGTTTTGGTCCAATAAAGCAAAATCGCAGTAGGGCCCATGAAACCACTGTCAGTTTGGCCCTACTCCAACTGCTAAAGACAGGCAGCCAGGACAAACAGCTCCTTGTTACGAGCTCGGGAAAGGCCTTTGTCCATGGTGCTGTGTTTGCACAGGGCTTCTGATGATATGAAAGAATGTTTGATCTCTCTTTTATACCTGTTGGATAACAAACAGACGCTCAGATCCTGCACGGTGCCTCTGGAACACAGAGGTTTGTCTGCTGGAGATGCGGATGTTCCAACGCAGCAGAGGTGGTGACGCTTTGGGGGCTTGTGGAGTTTTCCCTCTGCTGACAACAAAGTCATTCTGCTTCTGCTCTAAATGTGTTTACTTACTCTCAGAAAGAAGATATCCCTATAGTTCAGGCCACAGGGAAAGTCAAAAGGACTTCCATACCAAGAGCTACTGTATTTAAATCATTCAGACAGTGACTATAAAACACCAGGGGAACAGGAGGGAGAGTTGCCAGGAAAAAGGAAAATCAACAATGCTAGTTTCAAAGTCCTTGAGGCAAAAGGCCATACAATATTTCCCCAGAGCTGCTGCAACTCAAGCTGCTTTTTCAAGTGGGTCAGAGGAAAAGGTAATAGTCAACTATAAACTTTCTTCCAGGTGAAACAAAATCCTAATTCACTCTTTATAAGTCTCTTCCCCCTCTAGCAAAGGAGGACTTATGTTCACTAACATGCAGGGGTCTCGGAGGTGTTCTCGGACAGGCATGGGGGCGGGGTGGGGGGATGACTTGACCACATCCATGTGTTTTTTCCTGAATAGTAATTTCCAAGCCAGGGACATCTTCTCTGGAAATAAGGAGCAGCCACCGACTCTGATCCCATGGAGGATATGCCTCTCCCAGGCCCTCAGCACTCAAAACATTCCTCAACTGGGGCTGAGAAGGACAGCAGGCCTTGGAAAGTTGGAACACATCAAGAAGGTTGAGGCCCGGCTCTTCTCCTTCTAGAGAATTTCCGAGCCAAACAGGCCCAGTCGGGCTTAACATCTTACTGACTGTCCCTCCACACACTCATTCCTCCAGGATCTCACTTTGCAGCAGTGGCTTGGTTTCCTAAATAGTCCCAAAATCCAACGTGACGAGGTGAAGAGTCCTGTGAACTGTCGCCACCACCTCTAGTTATACTCATCCACCCACATGCAGCTCTGGGCACACAGGCTGCATATAAGGGGAAGGGCACGTGGGATTCGTGGGTGCCACTTTCTCTTTAGCCAGGGGTTCGTTACTTTGGTTTTCAGTAGAGGTTCGGAGAGTCAGGGTAGCCACTGAGTCAGCAAGCCAAGGGCCAAACAGGGCACCACAGACCGGTGCCACAGTTGGCACAATAAGCTGCTGCTGCTTTTATTCAGCCCAGCAAAGTGCTGACCCTTCTCCCCTCTGGAACACAACAGGAGAAGCAAGACTCGAAGTGAGTTTTTAGTATGGTACCTGCCCTGGCCTGCTAAGTATGGCTACAGGAGGGTTAGTTCTTCTGCATACCAGCTCTTTTTAAATTGTTTTTCTTTTAGAGAGGGTCTCGCTCTGTTGCCTAGGCTGGTCTCAAACTCCTGGCCTC